TGTCTCACAGGGCTGAGCAGAGGGGCAGGATCACTTATTGTGATTGTCCAGCCTGGAGAAGAGGAGCTTTGGGATGATCCAACAGGGGCCTTGCAGGACCTGAAGGGAGCCCACAAAGAAGATGGAGAGAGACTATTTCCAAGGGCCTGCAGTGACAGGACATGGGGAATGGCTTCAAACTGACAGAGAGCAGGTTTAGGTTGGATATCAGGGAGAAATCCTTCCCTGGGAGGGTGGGCAGGCCCTGGCACAGGTTGCCCAGAGAAGCTGTGGCTGCCCCATCCCTGGCAGTGTCCCAGGCCAGGTTGGATGGGGCTCTGAGCAAGCTGGGCTGGTGGAAGGTGTCCCTGCCCATGACAGGGAACGAGGTGATCTTTCAGGTCCCTTCCAATCCAAGCCATTCCTAGATTCCATCACTGAATCCCGAGGGACCCCACTGGTGACAGGCCCCCGGCCGGACCCAGCGCCACTGACCGCGACCCCCCGGGACCCTCCGCAGCCAATTCCCTTCCCGCTGGAAAGGAAAACAGGGCCACCCCGGGAGCCACCCCGGGCCCCCAGAGCCCTCCTGTCCCCCGGCACACGCACCTCCTGCCCGGCCGCGCCATCCCCGCTCCTGCCGCCGCTCTGCCCGCCCTTCCCTTCCTTCCCTTCCCTTCCCTCCCCTTCCCTCCCCTCCCTCCAGGGCCGCTCTCTCAGCACGTTCGCCACGGAAAAAGAGCCGAATCTGCCTCTCCGGACGCGAAGCTGCGATGCCGGGGAGGCGGGAAGGGGCCGGGTCGGCGCCTCCCCCGCCGGCCGGGTGAGCGCCCTGCCCGCCCGCAGCAGGTGAGCCCGGGGGAGGGAGCCGTGCCAGGGCTTTATCCGGCCTCATTATTCCCAGCCCTCTTATTCCCAGCCTTCCCGGGGCTGGGAAAACGTGCGGGGGATCCCGCGGGCCGTGCCCGCTTTGCTCCTGTTTGTTTTTGTTGTTTTTTCCCAGGAGCAGGAGGTGCCGGTTTGGGAAGGGGTGTTTGTCCCACTGTGCCGCCTCCTCCCCACTGATCCTCTCGGGGGGCAGCAGAAACACCTTGGTCTGTCTTGGGTTCCTGCCGGTGCTTTCCCTTTGAATCCAGCTCCTGGAAGGGCCGGGCCCCCGCCTGGCTTTGGGATGGGTTGCCCCGAGATGTTTGTTTGTCTGTCGGAGCTGTCTCGTCTGTTTCCAACACGGGGAATTGTTCACAGGAAAACCCACCAAGAAACAAACAAACAAACAAACAAACGGGACAGAAACTGTCAGTTATTAACAAAGCCACTTTTCCTCTGATTTTTACAAGAATGTAATTGTTGTTATTTTCATTTCTAGCGCAGGAAATCACCCCGAGAAGATGAAGCCTAATAAAGGAAAGACTTACACTCGGGAGAGAGACTATGTGTACACGTTCAGTGCTGGAAATGAGCACTTCGTGCTCACTGTGCCTCTCAAATTCCCCGTGCAGGAGAACATCAGCCATTTGCACGGACGCCTGATGGTTCTGCACAACCTGCCGTGCTTTGTGGAAAATGGTATGAGTCTCTTTCTTGGATCAGTGTCACGTCTCTCTGTCCACAGTTGTCTTGCAACTTGCTTTAAGGAACCAAAAAAAAAAAAGGTCTTTTAGTAGAACAGTGTTAAAAAAAATGTTTTTTAAACAGCATCAAAAAAATCATTGTCAAGTGCAGGCGAGTAAAGTGGCCAAGGAAAAGGTTTTCAGAAAAGCTGTTTATGCTTCCTAGATGATTACTGGTACTTCTATTGATGTGTTTTGTCGATGGACCATTCTCTTCTTGCTCTGTAGACCTGAAGCAATCTCTGAACAAGTTCATAGAAGAGGAAACTGTAAAAGATTACGATAGAGAGGCTGAAGTGGCTCTGGAAGCGGTGAAATCAGGAAAAGTAGACATCAACCAGCTGGCAGATACTTGGGCTAAAGCTTATAAAGAGGTAAGGTTAAGGCTGGGAAGTTAATATTCAGGACTTGCTTTGTGAGAATGTGTGAGTACAGACAGAATCACAGTTGTGAAGAGGCAAAGCTACAGTGAAATTCACTTTTACTGATGAATTCTTACAGAGGTTTTTTTCATATGAAAGTGGGCATTCAGTCCTCATCCTGCAAGTTCTAGGTCAGATTTTTCCTGAATTTAGTAGATTCAAAAGATACAAAATGAGAAAGTAAAGGGCTAGTTCATTTACCAGTTGATCATATAAACAAAAATAGGCATCAGGGTTATAGTGCATTAGAATTAAAGCAAGAGTGTGTTTTTTTAAATTAAATTAAAGTGGTACTCCTAAATCTCAGTGGTAGCAATGGAAGCTATAAAGAGAAAGTGCACATTTGAGTGACTTTTCAGCTCATTTTTTAAGTTCATGTGAACTATTTTACAGTATTTAGGAATGATGAGGCTTTAGCAGGAATGAGGTTTCCAGTTTTGCATGTGATCTTCAAAACAGTGGAATGGGGAAGAACTGGAGGGGTCCTGGTGAAGACAGAAAAAGAGTTGACAGAAACTGCAGTATTTGAGGAAAAGTTTAGAGGAATTGAGTTTGCTTCTCATGGAATATAACAAAATGTTGGGGAAAATTTCATAAAGAGCTTGAAAAACTAGCACCTTTGGGCCATTCTTTGTTCAATAAAAACAGCTTTTCTCAAGTCAGTGCTGCTGATCAAACTCTTAGTGATGTCAGAGGTTAGTTATCCTTGCTAGCAAAGCATTTTTGTTTGCACAGCAGGTGTTTGGGGCCTTATCTAAAATTCATCAGTTGCAAATACTGTGGACATTGCTGTTCTTTCCAAGTTGGTGTTGTGTGAAAATTCCTGATTCCTCCTTGTAGTGGAAACCTGAGTGATTCTGCCTTCAGTTGCTTTCAACAAGAAACAAGATGGGAAAGGGGAAAATTTAAAGTAGAAAGTTTAAATTGGGAGAGAAAATGTGTGTATGGTAGAAGCTGTGTGTGTGCCCACTTGGTTTTGCCCCCCCATTATGAGGGATCCTCACGTGTCCTAAAAGGTACCTTGTGCTTTAAAATCTCCTTAAAATCCTTAGACAACATTAGAACATGCCAGACCTGAAGAAACCAGCTGGGATGAAGATTTTGCAGATGTTTATCACGATCTGATACATTCTCCAGCTTCTGAAATGCTGTTAAACCTGGAGCACAATTATTTTGTCAGCATCTCGGAATTAATAAGTGAAAGGGATGTGGAACTGAAGAAACTACGGGAAAGGTATTCCTTTTTGTGTTTTTTATGTTTTCTCCTCTCTTCCTGCATGTCCCTGAGTGTATAAACTTCTAGGACAGTGTGTCAACTTGTGTTTGTTGTGTGTAAACACTGAGTGTAAGAGTATGTAGTGACAGGACATGGGGAATGGCTTCAAACTGACAGAGAGCAGGTTTAGGTTGGATATCAGGGAGAAATCCTTCCCTGGGAGGGTGGGCAGGCCCTGGCACAGGTTGCCCAGAGAAGCTGTGGCTGCCCCATCCCTGGCAGTGTCCCAGGCCAGGTTGGATGGGGCTCTGAGCAACCTGGGATAGTGGAAGGTGTCCCTGCCCACGGCAGGGGGATTGGAAAGAGATATCTTTAAAGTCTGTTCCAACCCACGACCGTTCCATGATTCCATGATTCATTAGAGACATCTGTCTTATATTACTTTGATGGCCTTAACTTTTATTATTTTCAGTGACTGAGGAGAATATAAGTTTTGATTTCCATTGTTCTAACCACCTTTTAAGTGTTGAAGGGCTTAAGATATATAGAAAATAAAGAGTATGAAAAGATAAGCAAAAGACTTGAGGCACCTATAAATCAGGAACTGTTGAATTTGAATCCCAAGTTCTGGAATAAGCTTGGACAGCTGCAGGTGACTTTTTTGTCCACAAGAGGGAACACATACATTTTGGGTTCCTCTTTTCCTGCCAGAATGCTCTGAGTAGGTGTGTTTGAGCGTTCTGAGTGGCACTGCTCCTCTTGAACTGCCTGTGTTCAAGCTCACATTGTGCAGGTGGTTTCTCCAAGACTGAATTGTACATATTTCTGATTTGGGGATGAATTCTGCCAATAATGGGTTTGCAAACTTTTTTGCTGTTTGTTGGCTCTTCTGAAATGTGAAGGAGCAGTAATGTTTTAGAGCTGAGGTGTGATGACACTGGTGGAATTTATCAGATCTGTTTGTCATAACCAAGAAACACCCTGCGCTGGTGGCAGCTGAGAGTGTCCCAAATGAGTGTCGGTTGTTGTTCTGTTGACTCAGGAGCTGACTGGGAATCCCTGACCCTTAACTCTAATTTGTTTTGTGGGTATTCATTGCTAAATCTGGGACTGATATATAACCATTCATTCTCCCACTACTACTATTCTTATCACAAAAAAGGGTGTTCCTCTGCCAGGTGTTTGAAGTCTGTCTTTCTTCTCTCTCTCAGACAAGGAGCAGAAATGGATAAGGTGATGCAGGAGCTTGGGAAATCACTGACTGACCAGGATGTGAACTCCTTAGCAGCTCAGCATTTTGAATGCCAGCAGGTAAACTGAGGTGCAGTGAACCAGAAAGCATCGAGCACATAATCGTCCTAAAAAGAACACCCAGACCACTCAGATTATCACTGTTGTCTTGACAGGATTTGGAGAACAAGTGGACCAATGAATTAAAACAGACTACTGCTATCCAGAAGCAGGAGTATCAGGAATGGGTGATAAAGCTTCATCAGGACCTGAAGAATCCCAACAACAGCTCAATCAGGTATTTAATTCCTCTGTGGTCCTTACTTCCCACCTGTAATAGTTCAAAGGACTTACCTTTATGTAATCTTTTAAATAGGATAATATAATCTTTTTTATTAGGGTTATTATAATATCTATACAATGATTAAGCAAATCAAAGGCAAATAAAACACCATAATTAAATATTTATATTTTGGGAGTTTCTTCGTTGTGTAATGCTGTAACCTTTCAGTACCAGAAAGTGTTGTAATGCACTGAAATACGACTTGAGCTAAATGGAATTTCCTCCTATTTTGCCCTTTATTTCTTATGTCTGTCTTTAACACTGTTTCACAAGGCTTTTTATCATTTAAGGATGTTCTGTAGAATAATGGTGACTCAATACCATGGTAATGGTTATGATGGTAACAATATCACACATTTGGAATTAATAAGCCACTTTTAAGGTGAAAGAGATGTGTTACATACGTGTATAGACAGACACACATATATTTATGCATTATTATATTGCTTGTGTGTGTGCATATGTATTTATCAGCGATGTATTTCAGTCCTGTCTCATCACTAGGCATTTGCAACGTTTATAAAACACCTTTGTGAAGTTTATAAAACACCTTTGTAAGTTTATAAAACGTCTTTGGAGATGAGGTACTTAGAAAACAGAGAGAAACGTTTTGTTGATGCAGACTCAAACTGGAGCATTCACCTTATTTCATGCAGCATCAACACTGTATCACTAGCAGACAGCTGAACTTAAGGAAAAAATTAAGACTGAAAGGTTTCCTTGAACACTGTGGAACATTTGGTAAAGCTTTTTTTAACCTCCAATTTAGTATGGGGAGACAAAAGAAACGGTTTATCTAGTAACTTCATAAATAAG